GCTTTCAGCTTAAGTTTTCAACATGAAGCATTCACACTAGCATTTTTGCAGGAAATGCAGTTTCTCTAGTTAAATTTAGCCTTTTATCGGAGTTATTTTTTGTTTGTGATCCAGTTTTAGTTTTGGGTAAAGGTGTGGCCACAGTGAAGGACAACCTAACCAGCCGACGTGCCCCCTCCCTGTGAGATTCATTAACACATTTGGTAAAGTTCTGCACCATGTTGGGCGGACAGGGTTATTATTAGCTCACTGTCAAATAAGGTCAGTGGATAATTACTTAGGGGGGAAAAAATCACTTAGATTGAAAGTAATTTTGTTTAATCACAAGTCAGGTTGTCAGGTGCTTCTTTTAGATTTTGTTTTATGCATCGAGACATTTTAGTGTATTTTAGAATAGGTTATGGGTCGGCAAAGACCTGAAACAAGACTTTAAAAACAACATATTTCAGTTGATCATTTAGTGAAGGTTTCAGCTAGTAGCTCTGTGTGACTCTATATGTTGGAGATAAAACACTGTGAGTCAAAGTTGATTAGTTTTGGTATTTTTTATGAATCCAGCTGAAGAGACGGATGAAAAAAAAAAAGATTCCTTTTTGACAAGAGCCTGTTTCACCTCATGGGTTTATTAACCTTTTTGTGCCTGAATGTCAAGATGTTTAAACACACCTCTTTAAACAAAATGTTCGAACTCTGCACTGAGAAGGAGTAAAAAGTCCAAAGAAACACTTTGAAACAAGATCTAAAAAAGAAAAAAAAATGAATCAACTTTTAAAAGATTTAAAAAAAGACAATTTTAAAGTTTCTCCTGACAATAAAAACCTCACAACTCAGTTGGATTTCATTTAAAACAAACATATAGGAGCCACTTCAGCATKAAACTAAGACATTTAAGTCATCTTTTGCACAGATTAATTCACAACGTGAGGGGAGACTGAAGGAAGGAAATCGACAAGCAGGAAAAAACACGATCTTTTGAACTGAGACAAATCCCTGCGCAGACKCTTCGTTTGGCTTTTAAATGCATCATAAGTTTCGTACATTAGCAGCTGAACTGAGCTGAAAGCTGAKGAGAGCTGAATGAAGCGGCTGTCTGTGTGTTTTTGTTCAGCTCAGCCTTTGGCTGAACTCAAAACTCTCCAGAAAATGTGGGGTCTGCGTTGTTTTCTTCTGTTGTTTCCCTCTGGTCTCTTTGTGTTTATAAAATCTTAGGCTACAAC